GGTGTCATCAGCAAACTTGCTCAAAACCTTCTATTCCTTCATCCAGATCGTTTATAAAATATTGAAAGTACCGCCTAAAATGGAGCCCTGAGGACCCCACTGGTGACCGCCCGCCAGCCTGACGCAGCCCCATTTACCATAACCCTTTGGGCCCTGCCCGTTAGCCAATTGCTCACCCATCGTATGATGTTTTTATTTAGCTGTATGGTGGACATTTTGTCCAGTAGGATCCTATGGGAAACCGTGTCAAAAGCCTTGCTGAAGTCCAAAAAAATCACATCAGCTGGTTTCCCTTGGTCCACCATACATGATCTTATCATAAAAGGAAATCAGGTTAGTTAGGCAGACTACCCTTCACAAACCCATGCTGGCTGGGACCAATGACTGCTTTGTCCCCCAGGTCGCCTCAATAAGTTCGAGAACCATCTTCTCCATGATTTTACCAGGCACTGACGTGAGACTGACAGGCCTGTAATTGCTAGGGTCTTCTTTCTGACCCTTCTTGAAAATCGCACAACATTTGCCAGCTTCCAGTCTACCGGGACCTCTCCAGATTCCCAGGATCGTTGAAAAATAATTGAGAGGTTCCGCGATGACGTCCACCAGCTCTTTCAGCACCCGGGGATGAATCCCATCCGGACCCATGGACTTGTAGGGATCCAGGTGGAGTAGCAAATCCCGCACACGTTCAGGGTCGGTTGGGAGTTTGTCATCCCACCGTCCCGTCCTCCAGCTCAGGGCACCCTGGGTCCCGAAGCCCATCATCGGCATTGAAGACAGAGGCAAAGAAGGCATTAAGCGTCTCTGCTTTGCCTATGTCATTGTCTGTGAGAACCTTCCCTATCAAGGAGCGCCCTATGTATTCTTTAGTTCTCCTTTTTCCATTCACATATCTAAAAAAACCCTTTTATTTTCTCTCACAGACACAGCCAGCTTCAACTCTAGGTGTGCTTTAGCCACACCAATTTTCTCCCTACAAACACGAACAGCATCCCTGTATTCTTTCCAGGACACCTGGCCCTCCTTCCAGTAGCGAAACACTCTCTGTTTCTGCCTAATCTCCATCAGAATGTTCCTGGTCAGCCACGCCGGCCTCCTGCCCCGCCTGCCTGACTTGCGATATTTAGGAATTGCCTGATCTTGTTCTAGGAGGCATCGCTTAAAGAATGACCAGCACTGGTGGACATCGAGGCCTTCAAGAGCAGTTTCCCAGGGGACCTTGCTGACTAGTTCCCTGAGCAGCCTGAAGTCCGCTTCCCCATATCTAGGGATGAGGTTTTGGTGGCACTTTTCCTTCTGTCACCGTAAATTTTGAACTCAACCACTTCATGGTCGCTATGACCGAGGCGGCCACCAATCACCACATCTCCCACCAGACCCTCTCTGTTTTCTAGCAACAGGTCTAGGAGGGCACCTTTCCTAGTTGGCTCCGTCAGCGGCGACAGGCAGGGGGTCCACCCCCATTTGGGGTGTCTCACCCCGGTACCTCTCCTTGAGGCCCTGCAGGGAGTTACTCCCAGTCTATCTCCCGCTCACACTCCCTGATGGCCCTCAACCTCTCCACCTCCTCCTTGAGCTCCGCCACCATGCGGATCAGGTCATCCACCTGCTGGCACCTGACGCACGCAGCGTCCTGCCTCCCGCCGATGGCAGCAGCAGGCTCTGACACTTGCATCCGGTGACCTGAACCGCTGCATTCTTTAACGGGCAGTCGGTCTGGGTGTGTACCGACCTCCTGCAGAGCGTCCGTGCCTGTGGAGACCATTATCACCTAGCTAACGGCTGTCGTTAAGAGGTGTTCGTGTGGGCAGGGGTTGCTCTCCGCCCTGCCCTCCCCTCTGACGGCCACGCCCTGTTTGCCCGCCCTGGTCGCCGCGCTCCCTAGGGGCTGCTTTGAACGGCCGGGGAGGGGTCGCTGCTGGCTCCGCCTTCGCCTCGTCAGCCTCCCTCACGAGGGCTGCCGGCTCCTGGCGGCTCCCTGAAGTCGGCTCGATGCCGGAAAATGAGCCCTGCCTGGCCCGATCCCCCGCTCCGCTGCAGAACGCGTCTGCCCCGGAGCCGATCGCCTCGGCAAATGGCCAAGAACTCATAAGAACTTCTTAGCCACACGTGCAGTTGTTTGGACTGAGAAGCCCAAGATATGCCCCAGTGATACCTCCAAGTCGAAGGAAAACAGCCATTCAGTTCGCCATCTGGGCATGTCCCTAATTAAACTTCTATGTGGGGATGATTCAGACACTCAAAAATAGTAACCACAAAGTCCACACACTCTTTGAACGACAGAGCAAATGTTTAATGAACCGAGAGTGTTACATGTCTGTTAACAGCACAGCTTCTCTTTTTTTTTTTAACCAACCTGTTCCTTAGTCAAGGCTTTGATCATCTCAGCTGTGATGTGCCTGTTGGATTTAGCCGTAGAGCCACCTTCCGTGGGGCTCCTGCCTGGCATTTCTTCTGGCTCCTTGTGAATAGGCATGGCTCTTCCAATCACACCCATTAGCTTTGACTCCAGAGGACCCAGTTTTAAGTATTCCTTAAGAAGAAAAAATATCTTTCTGCAGTTGCAGAGAAAAGAGGCAGCTCTTCGACAACAAACTAAACAAAACAACAGCATCTTTCCTCTTAAAAGCAACTCCACGAGTGTTGTCCTGGGGTTGCCGTGTTCAGTAATTTCAGTGTCAGTGGGTTAATCTACAGGCCAGCTGATCCTAGGAGGATGCAGCCCTGCTGCTCTCTTTTTCTGCGTGTTTTCACCAATAATGTTTTCTCTGCAGCCCAAATTCTGCTCCCAAGTTTAGTTCCGTGAGAAGGATTAAACGAATCCAACAGTTCAGTACTGCCAAAAGAGAGATCCAAGTCCAGCTTGGTGCTTGCACCATGTTTGTGCTGGCTCTGGCCTTCTCTAGGCCTCTGACTCAGTTCAGGTGAGTCAAACTAATTCAAGGGGAAGAAACAAAACAAACAAAGGCAGGCTTTGCTGCTGGGACAGTGAGAGAACCAGCTACAGAAGAGGCAGATGCGCACTACAGTTCCCTAGAGGCAGCAGCAGGATTGTACAGCTAAGGCTAGGGAGAAGAAGGAACCCTACAGCACAAGGTCTTGAATCAAGTTTAGTAAATGCTTTCCTGCTAGTTGCAACACCACTGTTTGCAGTTACACTACTTAATTTTTGTGAAAACAGGAATGCCAGTAGCACCTGTGTCTCTCAGTAGGGTGGGCTCTACAGTGCTAACAGCAGGAGAGAAGAAGCAAAGCTAGTGTTCCTCTCCTGAGGCAACAGCTGCAAGGAAGCAAGCACCTGGACAGATTTTGTCTGTGTCGTGGTTCGCTCGAGTGGGCAGCCGAGCTCCACCACAGCCGCTCTCTCACTCCCCCTCCTCAAAGAGGAATGGGAGAAAATATGTGAAAGGGGCTCAAGGATTGAGATAAGGACGAGAAAATCACGCAATAATTAGTGTAACGGGCAAACCAGACTCAGCATAAGAAGATAGATAGTAAGATTTATTGCTCATTACTAACAAGCTAGAGAAGTGAGAAACAAAGGAAAGAAACCAAAAGCGCCTCCCCCCCCATCGTCGTTAAGAGGTGTTCGTGTGGGCAGGGGGTTGCTCTCCGCCCTGCCACTCCCCTCTGACGCGCCACGCCCTGTTTGCCCGCCCTGTTCGCCGCGCTCCCTAGGGGCTGCTTTTGAACGGCCGGGGAGGGGTCGCTGCTGGCTCCGCCTTCGCCTCGTCAGCCTCCCTCACGAGGGCTGCCGGCTCCTGGCGGCTCCCTGAAGTCGGCTCGATGCCGGAAAATGAGCCCTGCCTGGCCCGATCCCCCGCTCCGCTGCAGAACGCGTCTGCCCCGGAGCCGATCGCCTCGGCAAATGGCGAGGCACTAGCAAATTACCGTCTATCATACAAAGATTTATTGGAACAGAGACAGCCAAAATGTTAATGCATGGTGGGAGCTCCAAAGGAAAATAACTTCACAATAGCATGCAGATAAGAGAAAAAAATCTGTATTATATGTAAAGCCATTAAATGTTTTTTTAGGCAGGGATGTCAGGATTGCTATTTCTAACCACAACATGCCCTGTAACCTAGTGACATCCTCAGCCTTGATTTAGAGTCGGGGCCCACCGCTGCAGTTTATCTGGCACCTCACAAAGGAATAGCTTCAGGGCTTATTTAGGAATGGCTTGAAGGTGGAAAGTGAGGGGCCTGGCACCTGTCCCCGCAGTTCAGCAAGTACTTGCCCCAGACACTGCTTCAGGACCATGTTGCTGCGTCTGACTGAGGTCCCATGACATGGCTGCAGTTTTCTCTCATGACATGGCTGCTGCGTCTGACTGAGGTCCCATGACATGGCTGCAGTTTTCTCTCAAATGCTACAGTTTGTAAAACTGTTAACTACTACCTGGACAGGAACAGAAGTCTGACAGTGTGGGTTTTTTTATTATTTTATTTTTTTTTTATTTTTGTTGTTTGGTTTGTTTTTTATGCTGCTGCAGTGATCTAACAGTATATTCTATGCCAGAAAACTAGGAGAGTAGTTCAATGAAATTCAGTGAACCACAGCACATCTGTGGAACTGGGCTTCGCAAACACTTTGCACGGTGTAAAATATTGCCACTACCTCCTCAGGTCTTCCAGCCCCTTGTCTGATGTTCAGTCCTCAGCGCGGTCTCACAAACAAACACTCTGCCAGAGTTGCAGGCTGGTTTCTTCTTTACTTTCTTTTTCTCTTTGTGAGGATTGGAGATAGTTTCAGTTTTCTGAAACAAAGGATGCTACAGCCATTAAACAGCCATCACTGAAACTTGCTACCTCCCAAGACAGGCTTTAGAAATCCATGGCTTTAATAACCACAGAATACTGTATTTGTGCTGAAGCCGGGGTAGAATATAGTGGCAGGGCATGAGATAGCAGTCACAGCAAGGCAAAATGTGAAGGTCCCTTGGTTACAGCAGTCACAGCAGTTTTTGAAAATCTGCCTCAGTAGAAGTTGCCTCCTGCCTCAGCTATTGACACGTAATCACGTGTCAATCTGATTGATCACCATTAACGGCCAGTGGGGCTTTCCCAGACTGCTACTGGTAGCAAACTACGTACAGCCACTCCTCCACCGCAGGAATGAGGGCACTATGTCGTAGTTATCTCAGATTTTTAAACCTGCCAGGTGAGTAGAATGGGTAACATCCTACAGTGTGCTGTGGAAGCAGAAAGTGACTTTTTTTTTTTTTTTTTTCAAAAGGAGAAAGCACTTGGCCAGCCAGAGGGTGGCAGCAGCAGGGAAGAGCTCAGCTCTGAGGACATAACAGAAAGCAAACAGCTGTGGGAGCTTCACAGTGTGTATGTGGTGGCAAGGAAAACAGGGACAGGTAACAGAGAGGGGAAACTGTACGCAGGAGGGGTGCAGAAACAGTCCTGCAACGGAGGGCAGGAGGAAGAAACCATGGAATGGGGTAGACAGAGATGGAACAAGCTGTGTAATGCAAGTTCCAAGGGAAAGCTGCAAGAAAACAACAGCAATTCCCTGACTGCTCTGTGGCTCAGAAGCCCTCAAAGCAACAACAACAACAACAACAACAAAAGGTATTTTTGGAAGCTATTCATAATTTCTTAGAAATGTCTCAGTGTCCTTTAAAGCCATTTGACTCAGCAGATGGTAAGCAGGCCATGCTGGAAGGATGGTATCTGCAAAAGCACCATTTGTACTGGCCATCCAGTAGGAGACTTGGTACAGCCAAAGGGTCCCACAGTCCACATTTAACTACTCAAGCGAAGGCTAAACCCACACGTGGCTTAAACAGTAGGAAAACTGAGCTCTAGCTGCCTGTTTCCTGCCCAATGCACTCACTAAGCATTTTTTCCCATCACGCTTGGAAAAGGACCCTTGCCCAGTAGAGATGCTCCAAATACCAGGCTGTCATTCAAACCTGGCTGAAGATATCAGTGCTTATCCAGCAACCCAATTTCTCCTCCAAGAAATAAGTAAATGTTCCATGTGAAGCACAGACCAGCTTCCCCATCCCATATGACTGCCCCAACAGCCTGTACACCTGTTTTCCCTCCCTCCCTCCCTCCGGATCTGTGAATATTGAGTTACAGTGGCCACACAACCATAAGCAGGGGGGTGACTATGGCACCATCTCAGTAGAGCTGACACTGTGCTGGCTGAAGCAGCCCCTGGGGACGCATCTTCAGGCCCCTCTTTGGCAGAGGAAGGCCCTAAATCCAAGTGCCCCATGTTGTCAGTGACTCCTCAGCTGACTTTTAGACTGGTTATAGCAGGACCAGCAACCAGTTGCATGGCCAAGGCAGTGCAATGGCCAAAACAGCCAGTAAACAAAGGTCCAAGAACAGCATTGAACAGCCAGGCCGTGCACCTTTCACACTGGCTCTATCTTTGGACAACCCAGCAGTGTCACTGCACACCGCTTCCCACCTGCCGTAGCAGCAGGAGCCCAGGTGCCTCACCAAAGGCTGGACTGTATGGCAAAGATCTGAGAAACAGGACATTGACTTATCACATTGTCTTGTGGGAGATTATATGTGGCAGAGGGAGACCTGAAAAGCCAGCTCTCCTGTCCCCAAACTTAGCATGTGAACTTCTGATCTGTCCTCAGATGTGATGAAAAATGTGTCTATACGTTTTCTGTCTTTGCCTGCTAAGTCAACCAATCGTTCATGCCAGTATCTGCTTTGCTGTCAGTGGACTTGGTAATTAAGATGACACGAGACCACTTGCTGAAATCAGTCATTGCACACAGCAGTACAGCACTCTGCCCATTCACTTGCCAGTCTGGAGTAAAAGGAAGGAAAACAAATCTAATGACAAGGAGAAGAGCTATCCTGAAAGAATACAGATGTTTCTCTGCCAGGGCACAAGGAGAAACTGCTATCTTTTCAGAGCAGAGACACTGTCAGGATGCAGCAAAGGCTGCTGCTTCCCTCAGTGTCCCAAGCTGAAAGCTGCTGACACATTTACTCTGGTATTTCCTAGCACCATGCTGTGGAATCTTAGCAAGAATGGATGTGCACAAGCAGTGGGACAAGTCTCTGTCCCACACTCTGGGAAAGGGGCCGTTCAGGTGGCACGCACCAGGGCTGCAGGTGGCTTGCAGGTTTCCTCCAGTCTCTCTCTCAGGTGGCTTATCTCAGCACGGTAGTCATCCAGCTGGCTCTCCAGCTTCTCCCGCCTGACTCGCTCGAATTCCAGCTGAGCCTCCAGCTCCTTCACAGCCCTGCCAAAAGCAAAGGAGACAAACGGAGCATAAAGCACATCCAAGCATGTCCTGGCTACTCCACGTGTTGTTTTTTTTTTTCAGGAGCAGGTTAGTCACAGCAGAAAACTGCAGTTCCAGTGTGCTCCTGGCTTAAGACCCTTTGCAAAAGCTTCAGAATCTACTGTTTTTCTTTCTCCACAAATCAGCTGTGCTCAGCGCATGACCATCTTCACCGCGAGATGGCGACGTCTTCCCACACATTGAGCCAGCCCCAGGGTTTTGAGCAGGCTGCAACCCAGGTCTTTCTCCAGCTTCTGAAGAGGGAGAAATACCCAAGAGGTAGAAGAGTTGGCAGGAAACAGAGAACAGGCATAAAACTGGTTTTCTGGACAGGCCAGGGGCAGTTTCTTCATTTATGGCTGGTTCCTCCACATCCTTCCTAAAGTGATTGGGTTAACCACAGATGAGGAATGATCAAATGACAGCCTGCATGGCACCGACTAAAGGAAAGCGGAAGCACTGGCTGATAAACAGTTGCACAAGTCCTCATCAGTCACCCCCACAGTGGCTACTAAATTAACTGAGATTCCTGGAACTGGTTAGCTGAGACATAATTGAGATATATTCTTATAACAACAATTGACCTCAACAGCTGAGTCATGTGGAGTTGAGCTGGCTCTCATCTGTAGCATGAGTTAGCACAGCTACAAAGACAGAATACTGGTAAAAGGAAAAGGGAGATGTCTGCCATGTGGATTCAAATAGCAGGGCAGGAAAAAAAGCTGACAGAAGAGCTACTGCATTGCCCAGACCAAAACATTCCTGACTCACAGTCCAAAGCGACCGGCCTGTGTCAGCCTTACTGACACTAAAAGAATGACCTGTGCTTTTGCAGGGAACTCAGTGCCTGGGGGAACAAGGTGACTTCTTGCACACTCCGGATTTGTGGGGCACAGCTCCAGCACGGTGTGGCACACATGCGGTGGCATTTGTTTCCATGCTATGCAGCCTGGCCCTGCACAGCAGCTCCCACCAGGCCTCTAACAGCAAAATCTGAAAGAGCAACTTTCCCAAGTGGCAATTCCTGCTTTTCATCTAGTAAAATGATGCTGTTGATAAATATTTTTAAATAATGAGGTTTTCTAGCATATGACACAAGCATCTTGGGGTTTATACACAGGTGTCTGTCAGTATCCTGAGGAGCAGTATTTCGGTTTCAAAAGGCCAGACAGGATCTAGGGATGCTCTCTAGCCTCCACAGATGACATCCCTCAGAGACCCTCACAATTACTGTTTTACTAGTTTAGCCCCACATGCCATGGAAAGCAAAATCCCTTACAAGAGCCCTCTAACAGGCACTGCCAGCTTTTCAGTAGCTGCTGTATCCAAAATGAGCTCTCATTTCTGCTGTTAGCCAACAGTGACTTTTCCAGTGCTGCAAACATGTTGCTCTAGTAACACGTTTGGTTTGCAGTGGCCCAAACGTGGACATGGACATGCTTGTCTACAAGAATTAAGAACAAAATGCAACCAAATGTTTGACAGATAGAATAGGGACAGGATGTTGCTTTCTTGTTTGAGGTCTGAATCTTTAAGAGAAATAGAGGCATTTCTTTAAAACTTAGACAGTCTGCCCATCTAAACATCTAACTCATCTAACAGAAACCTTTTATTTAATGGAGACCCTGAGAATTAGGCAGAAACTATGTAAAGTGCTTCACATGCAAAGGGAGGTTTGCTGAGATTTCTATTTTTGTGGTCTGAAAATGACCTAATGTCTTCATGAGCACAGAAATACACTGCTCTTGACAAAGAAATATAACAGGTCATTAAATAACTCCTCCTGTATATGCACTTCCATGCAAGCCATGCTAAGACTAATGCTTCTATTCAGACTTATTAAAGTGCATACATGTATTCAGCATCCTTGAAAAAAAAAAAAAAAAAAAAGATAGTCAGGATTTATGTAGAGACTACTGCACATACACTGCAGGAAAACCTGAAGGCAGAACAGGTAGCCCTGCACAAGTAAAAGAAGTACATACACATAATAATTTGTGTTGTACTGTAAGGCTGATCCTGGTCACAGAAGTCCAGAAATGGCCAGGAAATCACTGAAGTCCTTTTCTTTTTGGCCTGGCTAAAGTTGGTAAGTGGAAAAGACAAAATGGCCAAAGCAATTTGAGTGTAAGGTAGCCTTAAAGAAGGCTTTAAAATGGGCCTTGCTGAGTTAAACATTACCAGAGGAAGTTAACCTTACTTCTCAACATCCCTTTGTTCTTTTTTCATCTTCTTCTCCTCCTCCGTTATTCCTCCCAGTTGTCTGTAGTTGCCGTAGGCAATTTCTAGAAGATGCTGAAGTTCTTGAATCTTGCGATAGGCCCTTACTGTAAGACAGAGACCTCCAGGTAGGTAAATGCACAGAGAGAACTGAAGACAGTCATGCTGAAATCCAATAGTCTGGAAAAGTCTCACAAAGACAGAAATCACACTGCTCAGCAGATACTGAGATGTATCTGACACCCACACAACAGACAGCTCCCAGAAACAAGGAGCAATCCAATGCAGTTTCACCAACACAGATTAAAAACACTGGAACAGATACGTTCTGACTGTCCTGCACTATGCTTCCTAATTTTCCACAATTTGTTTGATACTCATCAGTACAGATACCCTGTCACCAAACTCATCCTACAACAAAGTCGCATCAGTTAGCAGAAACTGTGGCAAGTAGGACAGAATGTCTCGAGACTACCTTTTTGAATAAGGAGTGATGAAAATGCTTACTGCGTGCGTTCCTTTTCTCTGCTTTGCTCAGGATTAAATCTTCTTTGCTATCCGTACTCCCTTCCACACCATGTCTTTCAAAAAATTTTGCATTGTTTGCATCTAGCTCTTCATCACTGGAGTTACTGTCTCCAGTTCTTCGTGTCAAAAGTTCTACAGCTGCCAGCTGGGCAAATCTGCAGAGAGAACAGTTAACCTACACTGATACATCCCCGTAATCTGTAAAAGCATAGCCATGCTCCCCACATATGATGGAAACTCTCTGAAACTCTTCATGTTCCCATTTACAAGAGGGAGTTTCAGGGTTACAGGAAGCATTGGGTACACAAACTACGAGCAGATGATCTGCTTTCTGCAGTATTCTCCCAGCATGAGCTCTGCCTCACTGAAATCCTATGGCAATGACTCCCACATCAGAGAGATCTTTTCCTGTGTAGGATTTCTTAACTGAATCTCATCAGCAACTGCATTATTTTTATTAATGCAAAAAATCAGACAGCTTTCTCTAGTTCTCATTTACTTCGTGCAGTTGGAGCATACAGGCTTACGACCTTCCTTTTGCAAATCAGTTACTTTTCATCTTTTATGTCTTGCCATGTTCAGAAAAAACAAGGTAGACATAAATCCTTTTACAGCTACAGTACTGCTTTGCTTGTTACTCAGAACTGGAATTCACGGACTTGACCTTTTCCTCCCTCCGTCACTGAAAATCAGAAGTAATTACAACTAAGCTGACTTGAGATTGATATATAATAGTAAGCAAATAAATGACTGCCGCTACATGATATGTATTGCTACCTCTTGGCCACATCCTTTGGAGTCTCTCCAGCATCATCTGTAATGTAACAGTCAGCTCCCCTTTCAAGTAACCACTGTAAGCAATGGACGTGCCCCTGTTCAGCAGCTGGGAAAGGAAGGTGCACACAAGTCAGTTGTATTCAGCTGAAGTGTTTCAAACCTCATACATCCCCCTCTTGACACAGTTCAATGTGCCAGAGGGTGGGTTGATTAAGACCCCACAGGTGAGATGCTGTTTCAGAGAAGCCTGCGTTTCTAGATGATCAAGTCATATGGGCATGCCCATTTTTAGGGAAGATTTCTGCAATGTGTTTTTGTGCCTGCCCCTAGTCCTGGAAATTTACTTGCAACTCTTGCTGGAGAGGAGCTAAACTAAACTTGCTCAGTCTCAGGCATTGAGCACAAGACACGCAAATACCTGCTGCCTCGCATGCTCTTGCTTTGAGGTCTGCATCTCACCCATTTGCAGCAAGTGCTGTCATCTTTTCCTGGCTCTGGGCTCCCACACCTCACACAGGGTCGATTGGACCAATCCATGGCATACAGTGCTGGCTCACACAGAACAAGAGAAACAGGAGCTTTGTGCTGGAGCTACAGGCACACTTTTGGGCCAATCCTTAAGGCATTTTGCTTTAATTAAAGACCCTTTGCAAAAGCTTCAGAATCTACTGTTTTTCTTTCTCCACAAATCAGCTGTGCTCAGCGCATGACCATCTCCACCGCGAGATGGCGACGTCTTCCCACACATTGAGGCAGCCCCAGGGTTTTGAGCATAGAATCATAGAATATCCTGAGTTGGAAGGGACCCTTAAGGATCATCAAGTCCAACTCTTGACACCGCACAGGTCTACCCAAAAGTTCAGACCATGTGACTAAGTGCACAGTCCAATCTCTTCTTAAATTCAGACAGGCTCGGTGCAGTGACCACTTCCCTGGGGAGGCCTGTTCCAGTGTGCAACCACCCTACGCTGTGAAGAACCCCCTCCTGATGTCAAGCCTAAACTTCCCCTGCCTCAGCTTAACCCCGTTCCGCCGAGTCTGTCACTGGTGTTAATGGAGAAAAGTCTCCTGCCTCTCAACACCCCCTTACGAGGAAGTTGTTAGACTGCGATGAGGTCTCCCCTCAGCCTCCTCTTCTCCAGGCTGAACAGGCCCAGTGCCCTCAGCTGTTCCTCGTACGTCTTCCCCTCCAGGCCTTTCACCATCTTCGTAGCTCTCCTCTGACCACTCTCCAACAGTTTCAGGTCTTTTATACTGTGGTGCCCATGAACTGCACACAGTACTCGAGGCGAGGCCACAACCCAGCGCAGAGTAGAGCGGGACATACACCTCCCTCGAACCTACTAGCGATGCCAGTGCTTGATGCACCCCAGGACACGGTTTGCCTTCCTGGCTGCCAGGGCACACTGCTGGCTCATATTCAACTTGCTGTCTACCACGACCCCCAGATCCCTCTCTTCTAGGCTGCTCTCCAGCGTCTCATCGCCCAGTCTGTACGTGCAGCCAGGGTTTCCCCCGTCCCAGGTGCAGGACCCGGCACTTGCTCTTATTGAACTTCATGCGGGTTGGCGATCGCCCAGCTCTCCAACCTAGGCCAGATCCCTCTGCAAGGCCTTTCCAACCCTCAACAGAGTCCACAACTCCTCCAAGTTTGGTGTCATCAGCAAACTTGCTCAAAATACCTTCTATTCCTTCATCCAGATCGTTTATAAAAATATTGAAAAGTACCGGCCCTAAAATGGAGCCCTGAGGGACCCCACTGGTGACCGCCCGCCAGCCTGACGCAGCCCCATTTACCATAACCCTTTGGGCCCTGCCCGTTAGCAATTGCGCACCCATCGTATGATGTTTTATTTAGCTGTATGGTGGACATTTTGTCCATAGTAGGATCTATGGGAACCGTGTCAAAAGCATTGCTGAAGTCCAAAAAATCACATCAGCTGGTTTCCCTTGGTCCACCATACAGGTGATCTTATCATAAAAGGAAATCAGGTTAGTTAGGCAGGACCTACCATTCACAAACCCATGCTGGCTGGGACCAATGACTGCTTTGTCCCCCAGGTGCGCCTCAATAAGTTCGAGAACCATTCTCTCCATGATTTTCCAGGCACTGACGTGAGACTGACAGGCCTGTAATTGCTAGGGTCTTCTTTCTGACCCTTCTGAAAATCAGCACAACATTTGCCAGCTTCCAGTCTACGGGACCTCTCCAGATTCCCAGGATCATTGAAAAATAATTGAGAGAGGTTCCGCGATGACGTCCACCAGCTCTTTCAGCACCCGGGGATGAATCCATCCGGACCCATGGACTTGTAGGGATCCAGGTGGAGTAGCAAATCCCGCACACGTTCAGGGTCGGTTGGGAGTTTGTCATCCCCACCGTCCCGGTCCTCCAGCTCAGGGCACCTGGGTCCCGAAGCCCTCATCGGCATTGAAGACAGAGGCAAAGAAGGCATTAAGCGTCTCTGCTTTGCCTAGTCATTGTCTGTGAGAAGACCTTCCCTATCAAGGAGCTGCCCTATGTATTCTTTAGTTCTCCTTTTCCATTCACATATCTAAAAAAAACCCTTTTTATTTTCTCTCACAGACACAGCCAGCTTCAACTTAGGGTGTGCTTTAGCCACACCAATTTTCTCCCTACAAACACGAACAGCATCCCTGTATTCTTTCCAGGACACCTGGCCCTCCTTCCAGTAACGAAACACTCTCTGTTTCCGCCTAATCTCCATCAGAATGTTCCTGGTCAGCCACGCCGGCCTCCTGCCCCGCCTGCCTGACTTGCGATATTTAGGAATTGCCTGATCTTGTGCTTCTAGGAGGCATCGCTTAAAGAATGACCAGCACTGGTGGACATCGAGGCCTTCAAGAGCAGTTTCCCAGGGGACCTTGCTGACTAGTTCCCTGAGCAGCCTGAAGTCCGCTTCCCCATATCTAGGGATGAGGTTTTGGTGGCACTTTTCCTTCTGTCACCGTAAATTTTGAACTCAACCACTTCATGGTCGCTATGACCGAGGCGGCCACCAATCACCACATCTCCCACCAGACCCTCTCTGTTTTCTAGCAACAGGTCTAGGAGGGCACCTTTCCTAGTTGGCTCCGTCAGCGGCGACAGGGCAGGGGGTCCACCCCCATTTGGGGTGTCTCACCCCGGTACCTCTCCTTGAGGCCCTGCAGGGAGTTACTCCACCAGTCTATCTCCCGCTCACACTCCCTGATGGCCCTCAACCTCTCCACCTCCTCCTTGAGCTCCGCCACCATGCGGATCAGGTCATCCACCTGCTCGCACCTGACGCACGCAGCGTCTCTGCCTCCCGCCGATGGCAGCAGCAGGCCGGTGACCTGAACCGCTGCATTCTTTAACGGGCAGTCGGTCTGGGTGTGTACCGACCTCCTGAGAGCGCACCGTGCCTGGTGGAGACCATTATCACCTAGCTAAAGACTGTCGTTAACAGGTGTTCGTATGGGAGGGGGTTCTCTCCGCCCTTCCTGCTCGCCCTGCCTGCGCGAACTGCCGCTAACTGCCGCGCCACTCCCTTCTGACGCGCCACGCCCTGTTTGCCCGCCCTGTTCGCCGCGCTCCCTAGGGGCTGCTTTTGAACGGCCGGGGAGGGGTCGCTGCTGGCTCCGCCTTCGCCTCGTCAGCCTCCCTCACGAGGGCTGCCGGGTCCTGGCGGCTCCCTGAAGTCGGCTCGATGCCGAAAGTTAGCCCTGCCTGGCCCGATCCCCCGCTCCGCTGCAGAACGCGTCTGCCCCGGAGCCGATCGCCTCGGCAAATGGCCAAGAACTCATAAGAACTTCTTAGCCACACGTGCAGTTGTTTGGACTGAGAAGCCCAAGATATGCCCCAGCGATACCTCCAAGTCGAAGGAAAACAGCCATTCAGTTCGCCATCTGGGCATGTCCCTAATTAAACTTCTATGTGGGGATGATTCAGACACTCAAAAATAGTAACCACAAAGTCCACACACTCTTTGAACGACAGAGCAAATGTTTAATGAACCGAGAGTGTTACATGTCTGTTAACAGCACAGCTTCTCTTTTTTTTTTTAACCAACCTGTTCCTTAGTCAAGGCTTTGATCATCTCAGCTGTGATGTGCCTGTTGGATTTAGCCGTAGAGCCACCTTCCGTGGGGCTCCTGCCTGGCATTTCTTCTGGCTCCTTGTGAATAGCATGGCTGTTCCAATCACACACATTAGCTTTGACTCCAGAGGACCCAGTTTTAAGTATTCCTTAAGAAGAAAAAATATCTTTCTGCAGTTGCAGAGAAAAGAGGCAGCTCTTCGACAACAAACTAAACAAAACAAACAGCATCTTTCTCTTAAAAGCAACTCCACGAGTGTTGTCCTGGGGTTGCCGTGTTCAGTAATTTCAGTGTCAGTGGGTTAATCTACAGGCCAGCTGATCCTAGGAGGATGCAGCCCTGCTGCTCTCTTTTTCTGCGTGTTTTCACCAATAATGTTTTCTCTGCAGCCCAAATTCTGCTCCCAAGTTTAGTTCCGTGAGAAGGATTAAACGAATCCAACAGTTCAGTACTGCCAAAAGAGAGAGATCCAAGTCCAGCTTGGTGCTTGCACCATGTTTGTGCTGGCTCTGGCCTTCTCTAGGCCTCTGACTCAGTTCAGGTGAGTCAAACTAATTCAAGGGGAAGAAACAAAACAAACAAAGGCAGGCTTTGCTGCTGGGACAGTGAGAGAACCAGCTACAGAAGAGGCAGATGCGCACTACAGTTCCCTAGAGGCAGCAGCAGGATTGTACAGCTAAGGCTAGGGAGAAGAAGGAACCCTACAGCACAAGGTCTTGAATCAAGTTTAGTAAATGCTTTCCTGCTAGTTGCAACACCACTGTTTGCAGTTACACCTTAATTTTTGTGAAAACAGGAATGCCAGTAGCACCTGTGTCTCTCAGTAGGGTGGGCTCTACAGTGCTAACAGCAGGAGAGAAGAGCAAAGCTAGTGTTCCTCTCCTGAGGCAACAGCTGCAAGGAAGCAAGCACCTGGACAGATTTTGTCTGTGTCGTGGTTCTGCTCGAGTGGGCAGCCGAGCTCCACCACAGCCGCTCTCTCACTCCCCCTCCTCAAAGAGGAATGGGGAGAAATATGTGAAAGGGGCTC